TGACACTGCCCTCCACAGCTAAGATTTTGAACAACAGTTCAACCTGGAGCTGGGCTGCCATGAGTCACCGGTGACTGCATAGGCTGCAGCCCCTGTGGCAGTGGATTGCCATGGGCTACCGTGTGTAGCCAGCAGCCAGCGTGAGTGGCCAGCAGCTGCCGTGAGGCGGCCGTCCAGAAGCCGGCGACTAATCTGCCTCACCTGGGAAGAGCGCAATGATGGTGCCAACTTGGGCCAGTGAAACAACATCCTCCACATCTAGACTGAAGAACAAAACAACAGCAACTTGTCTGTTCCCCTTCCCCCAATTCCCCAGCGCTGTTCTCAACCCCCAATTCCCCAATTAAAAAAAAATCTTAAAAAAACAACAAAACAAAGAACAACAAATATCCCTCCTATGGATGAAAGCAGTGTTCATATAATAGCCTATTGTGTGTGTGTGTGTGTGTGTGTGTTTAGGGGTGGGTGGGAGAGAGAGAAAATCTTAATATAAAAAAATACCTAAGGCCAATTGAAAATTAAGGATTCCAAAAGATATTTATAGTACCTTAGCATGAATGAGGCCAGTGTGCTGCCTTCAGGAAAGACATAATAGATTTGATAGTTTCTTGAAGCTTTTGAGGGCTTTTCTCAGGGACAGAATGACCTCAGAATATCTATAGTATAGGTTCTTTGAGTCAATTTAAACTCTCTTCACTTTAGAAGCAAAGTAACATTTATTAAATATCTACTTTACAATTCAAGAACTTAAAACAAGGGAGCACAGAAAATGATATACATTGTATATATATGTTTCTTATAGAAAGGGATCTATCTGAATTTTGAGCAAAACAAATTTTAAAAAGACTTAAATTTCACTGAATAATTGGAATCAGAACACTAAGTGGAATGCGAAAAATAATCTAAAAGAAAGGTGGACTATGAATCAGAAAGTATAAAAAGCAAAAGTAGGCTGCTTATGAGGCAGGGAAGATCACAGGGCTAACCATGTATTAAATAATGTATGTCATCACACAATAAATATACACTTTTTCTTGAGGAAAACTTGTAAATGTAAAACTCAAATATTTCTTTCAAGTGACATATGTTTCTAGGAGAGCAGTTAGATCAATGTAAACATGCAGATAACACAGCGCCAGGTACATCAACAGCTTACATTTCTTACATTTCTTTTGTATCTAACATAGCAAGTATTGCGGGGCCTTGCCCAGAGAAGGTGCTAAAATGTTTGAGAAATAATACAAGCATGTATAACAGGATGCTGAGTGATCTTGTCCCTATGTTGAGACAAAAAGGCTCTAATATGCTACCAAATACAGAAGATACCAACAAGTCACCAACAACTCCCCCAGACTGAGAAGGGACAGAAGTGACTCTGCTACTTCCAACTGTCACCCCACCTTCCCTTTCCTCCCAGCCTACATAAGGAGCTTTCGTGGGAGGTGGGCATCAATTTTGTAGAGCGCAGTGTTCAAGATCAAATGTACCTCCCTTCCCATCCCACGGGGTAGCGGAGCGAGTATTCCAGGACATTCAAATGTCCCCCTCACAAGGAAAATAAAGGGGAGTGCCCAAGACAGTCATATGCAGAGAACTGGGCATACCTCCAAGAAGGGGTGCCAACGTTGTGTTTTGTAGTAGAATGTATGTCTGCTTACATAGAAGGCATATTCATCTGTCATGTACCTCTCTGAGTGGGAAAGAAGTAGGCAGCTATGGCAGTGCTGAGAGAGGGGGGAGTGGACACTTACCTTCTCTGACCTTAAGCTCTTAAGCTGTATAGTGAGAATAATAACACTTGCCTTATTTACCTCATAAATTTACTGTGAGGATAAATTGGTATAATAGACATAAAAGTGTTCGGTAGACTGTAGATCTTTATTTAAAGTAAGTGGTTATGAAAAGTCTGATCCCATGTGAAATTAAATTTCTTGATAAAGCAGTCTTATCATAGTCTAAATTTTGAATAAATCATCAATTAACAAATATTTAATGAACTAGCCTGTGCTAGCCATCTTGAGAGAGATAAAATATCAAAAAGTCCATAATCTGGTTAGAAAGGCAAGACTAAAATAAACAAACCAGTAATAAGCCCATACACTAATAACAGAAAACATTTATATGTGCTTACCATGTGCTGGTCACTGTGATAAGCACTTGACATATATGAACTCAAAATTTAAGTTCCTATGATGTAGGAATGATGTAGGTTTTATTACTTTATTTTACAGGTGAGGAATTGGGGCACAAAATGGTTAAATAACTTACCAAAGGCCACATAATCAGCAAGTAACTGAGCCAGGGTTCACATTTGGTCATTCTGGCTCTGGAGTCTGAACTCCTAACCACATTATATTGCTTCTCTGGTAAGAGTTCATGTATGGAATCACAGGTACATACTATGATAATCCAGGGAAAAGAAGAAAATATGAACAGAAATAGTTAGCAAAATATAGGTGGAGTTAGTGGGACTTGAGTCAGGAAAAATCAGTAGGGATTAGAAAAGTAGAAAAGAGAAAAAAAGAGCATTGCAGAAGTGGGTATTTGTTAAGAGTCCGGAAGTATGAATGCTGAGCAAGGAAACATTGCATAAAAATTATTGAATACCCACTAGATACCGTGTACTGTGCTTGGGACACAATCATGAAGAAAACAAACATACTTGTTCTTGTAGAACTCACAGTCAGTGGGCATGAGAAAGATAACGGAGACTAGTCTTACTGAGCTGAGCACCTACCAGGGGAATCGGAGGGAAGGAACACTGAGTAGGTGAAGGGGACACATCGGGAGGCTCTGAAAGGCAGGCAAGCTCGAGGAAGTCAGAAACAGAGAAGTACTGCAGGATCTGTGAAGGAACATGTTTCATGGTAATAGCGGTATCTTAGAAAGACTATTTGGCTGTTTCTCAAAAGATGAACTAGAGATGGGAAAAATGACAAGAATAAAGTCTTGTTAGAAAGTGAGTTTTATGAAGATCTAGAGTAAGTGACGACACTGGAAATTGAGAGCTTTGCTCTATTCATTATCTTCTTTTTTTCTTCAGTCTTTCCCTTTCCACTATTTTTCCTTGGCTTACAAACACATCTAATATTTTCCCATCCACAGTGAAAGATAAATTAAAACAATAAATAGTAAATAATAAAATTATTCTCCCAGGGGTGGGCCCTTCCCTAGCTGTTATGCCTTTACCTTCTCATATCTACGTTCTGCTTCCCATTCACTCCTGAACCCACTGCAACTTGGTTTCTGTCATGATATAGAAGAAGGAGTAGGTGATTGTCCAGGGGAAGGTAGACAATCTCAGAAGACTTCTTTGAAAAGGTAACATCTGAGTTGAACATAAATGGATGAATAGAAGCTGGCCAAGTAAAGAAATGGGTTTTCATGCTTATTCTATGAGAAGCAATTCTGTCAAACACACTGGAAAGTTGTTTCGATTCTACTTCTAGGTATGCTGAATAAAGCCTCACTCATTTAAATTCCTTTCCGCTGTTTTCAATTCACCCTGCTATGAATGAGGCAGAAATCTGAGTCATGCTATTTTGTATTTGAAAGAATTTCTACATGTTTAGTTTACAAGTATCTAACCAGAGTTTCTCAGGTTTACAGCCCATGTTCCACATTGATGCTGGTATCTTCCAATACATCATGGCCTCCCTGAAAACAGGAAGTAGGACTTGTTTGTATGTACACATCCTCTGCCTTGCAGAGTCTAGAACCTGGTAGCTATTCAGTCAAACTGGGTGTATTAATGAAAGGGTAATGGAAGAAAGGGAGACAAAGGACAGGGATAAGTAATTGATGAACATGGGTGATTAGGGGAAAAAGAAAATAGTAACAGTGACAGACAGAAGACAAGGGGAAGACAAGTTCAGGTTTAGATATGAGTATGTGAAGCTGAGGTTGCATAAGGTCTACCAGGTGGGAGTGTTGGGAATGCAGTTAGGGGCAGGAACTAGTATTTCGGAGTTGTCCTGGCTACAGGATCATATTTTTGGAATTAGCAACACAGAAATTGTAGTTTAAGTCCTGAGAAAGAATAAACAATTTGAAGAAAAAGGAAAAAAGTCCTAATTTTAGCCAGTATACTATGGTGAGAAAAACCTTGAATTAGGGAATATATAAAGGTCAGAGTATTTAGGGGCAAAATCCATCAATTCTCATTTTTCCACATGTCTACAATAAATAGACTTTTATTTCTTATTGCTAGATATTTCAAGCTCATGTATGAGGGCCATCAAACAGCACGGACTAGGCATTAACTATCCTTCTCAAGGGAATTTAACAAAGAAAAACTACCTTGAAAAACTACCAATCTACAAAAACATTTTTATCCATATATTTAAAACAATAAATTGTCTCAGCAGCATTTTGGTGTTTTCATTTGTGCCTCTGGTCTTTAGAGAGAATAGGGAGAGGTGGCTACGTCTAAGATAGAGGAATATAGCATCTGAAATGGAGTTTGAAACAAAACTCGCACGCTCTGGGAGCTGCATAATATAGCTCTCACACTAGAGAATTATTCTCCCTCAAATATAAGAGAGATAATGTATATGAATATGAAACACAAGGAGTGGAGATAGAAGTTTTTTTCAGTGATTAGTCATTTTAGGCTAAAATTTTTACAGATGTGCCCCTGAAAAATTATGTATAAGCTAAATTTCTGTAAGAGAGTAATTTTTCTCTTTGATATACAATATCATTTTGGAGATACTGCATCTCTCTAGGTCTCTATTATGTCATGTATAAAAGGAACAGGCCTGGGTAAATATCTTATGTTTATTTTAGCTCCAGAATTCTATGACCTTATTTCTGATTGATTTTTTTCAACTGGCAATAGGTCCCAAAACTCTTGCTTACCTCCTGGGACAAAAGTCAGAAATCTGTACATGATACTTAATGACACCAGAGGCATTTCTACTTAAAGAGGCTGAGGAGTCATTCTAACTGTGATGTGTAGCAAAGCGTTGTTCATAAAGCATGACATGCTTATATAATAGACTTAGATCAATAAGAACTTATGCATTTCAAAGACAAGTAGTTGGAAAATATTTCATAGCTCAAGTTGTTTGAAGTAAGAGCAGAAGAGATGGAGGTAATAGTAAGTGAATCATTCTCATATCAGTGATTTATGGGACAAGTACAGGGTCAACATAGCAATGAGTGTGGGAAATGGTGAGGGATGCTACTGTAAGTTTCTAGAAGCTTCTGGAAATCATTTTTGAAATAAAACTAGAACCTGATAAATTTCCTGGCCTGAGTAAACAAGGTGAAAAAAGGTAAATAAGACAGCAGCTCCACTCAGCTGAACTAAAGGTATAATTGGTGGTACCTTCCTTCTGGAATGTGATCGAGCAGCTATTCCATAGAGAGCGTTATGATCAGTTTTCTATGGCAGCCGATTCAGGGAGTGGAGCCAGCTGATGGCTAAGAGGTCACAGTATTTTAGTTAGTCCACCTGATATTTTTATCTCAAACTGTAACTTTCCAAGGTACAGTCCTTACTTGAATTGGGGTGCTGACTTCACCACCCTTCTCTCTTACGCTTACCCTTTTCCTTATACACCGAAGTGATCAGTGCTACCATTTTTGCTCAGGTGCTCCTTGTCTCTTGGGAAATTCTCCCATCACTCCCCTCACTATGTAACCAGAGGATGTCAAGTAAACAACCAAAATATTCTCTGGCTGGAAGCTTCAGTGAATCCCTGTGGAAGAAAGTCTGGCATTCTCCCTCTCTCATCCTTATTGCTGTGCCAAGGACAAGGTAAATCAGCTCTTCAAAGTGCTTGTGGTGTTAACTGTTATTATGATGATTAATATCTGGTGGGATGTTCAGGTAATATGCACCAGCCAACCGTTTTTATTTTAATATAACTCAGGCATCCCAAGTGAAGGGAAATTCGGTTTCAGCTGTGAAGATGGAAGGCTATTTAAAATCTAATGATGAAGGAAGGGTGCTCAGTTGACTCTAATGCTGAATCCTTTATTTTAATACACTATACACCATCCCAGACAATTCTTACAAGGAGAAAGATGCAGAAGCATCAATGTCCATGGTGTAGTTAGCTGTACTTCAAACTTCTTTCACATAAATGAAGAGATTCTGATTTGAATGAAACCAGAAAGGTTATGTACATGTCACAACCAACCTAAAGCCAGAGATCACGTAGATGCACTTAAGTTTATAATACAAAATACGTATTATGGAATATGAACTGATAAATCTGAATGGATCCTTTCCATAATGTTTAATTGGTTAGTACCACTTTTTCCATATTTTCTCATTGAAAATAAAAGTATTTGAGGGATAAACTAATTTTCCAATTCATTTAAGATCTGACTGGAGTTCTGGATTCTGAAACATAAATTGGACATGACCAAATATATATTTTTTATAAGAAAGTTGAATAAATAATTTTATGTACAAGAAGTCTGTTAATTGTAACAGAAATTACAACTAAAATCACCTATAATGCAATACATAAATTACTGCAATGTTTATTTTAGATATATTCTATTTTAAGTTTGTTAAATTAAAAAAAAATGTCTTTATATCCTCCTTTTGGCTTAATATAACTTAATAAAAGTAATCTAAAAAAAAGAAAAATATTCAATAAAGGAGTGATGGCAATATTTCTTGTGGTGAGGTAAATCCTTAAAATACTATATAGTGACTATAAAATGTACAGATATATTTCAACAATTATATGCCCTATTATACGCCAGATGTGTTCAAAAGTTTTGTTTTCATACAAAAAGATAAAATAGTCTATTGCAAATCCAGTTGATAAATTTATTAGTTAAAACACATTAGGCTACTTTAACTGAAATGATAATAATGCTATAAATGGTAAGACTATCATACATAATCAAGAATTAGCCAACAAATAACAAATGAATATATAAAGCTACAGTTGATACCAGCTTTTCAGGAAAGGTAATTTAAATTGCTTATATATTACTAGAAATAATTATTTCTTTTCCAATCAATCAAGATGCAAAGAATTTCTTGGTATTTTAAATAGAACTAAAATTCATTTTTTTAACTATGGCTGGTAAATTCTCAGTACTATTTCAGTGTTCTTCAAGGCTAGTCAATTTTTTTTCTTCCTTCTTCTCAGAATCACAGGATTGCCTATTCTATGAATTCTTGAGATAGTCCTCCCCATGGTGAGCAAGGACTTTAAATATAACTCTGGCTTAAATGAAAAGTTTGGCAGTTTCTGAGAGAACTGATACTCTGCATAAATAGAAATTAGGACAGAGTCGAGCTTTAGAGCTGGTTCCAAAGCGGAAACATAATAAAAAGAGCTCAGGAGTCATGGCTTATTCTAACTTCCTACTGAACATCAGAATAACGTGGTGAAAAGACATTTGATAAAACTCTTATGAAATCAGAATGTAGGATACTTATCTCTCAAGCCAAAAGGGAGAAAACATTAGAAACAATGTAAGTATAAGATAAGGAGGTGCATCATTACCGTTGTTATTTAACACTGTTATGGAGAATTAGGTGAATCATTTAAATAGAAAGATATAAAATGTACAAGACTGAAAAAGAAGCAAAATTATCAAAATTTGCAGTTGATAGATAACTGGAAAATCTGAATAAGCTGAAAAACAATTACAAACAAGGAGAGAATAATATGGTTGATAAATGTGATGACGATAATGATAATGAAAATTTGCAGTGTTTATTTAGTTAGTGCCAGCAGTGTTCTACATATATTATTAATTCATTTAATCCCCCCAATAATCCTATGAAGTATTTAATATTATAATCTCTATTCTATGAACAACAAGGAAACAGATCACATAGCTGGTGTGGTAGAGGAGAAAATTCAC